AAATCTTTCCCAGTTTTCTGCACCCCTCCTAATATTGGTTGCACTGGCTTTGTTTGTGCAAAGACATTTCAATTTAGCACCAGCCCTGGATTCAGGAGTACATGAGTTCAAATCCAGTGTCAGACACATAACACTTACTAGCTGTGTGACCATGGGCAAGTCACTTAACCCCATTGCCTAACCAAAAAAAAAAAACTCTCTCACCTCAAAAACATTTCAATTTAATGTAATCAAAATTATTCATTTTGCATTTCATAATGTTTTCTATCTCTTGTTTGGTCATAAATTCTTCCCTTCTCCATAGATCTAGCAGGTAAACTATTCCTTCATCGCCTACTTTGTTTATAGCATCAACCTTTATACCTAAACCATGTACCCATTTTGACTTTATTTTGGTAGAGGGTGTAAGATGTTGGTCTATGCCCAGTTTCTGCCCTACTCTTTTCCAGTTTTCCTGGCAGTTTTTGTCAAGTACTGAGTTCTTATCCCGGAAGTTGGAGTCTTTGGGTTTATCAAACTTTAAATTAGTATAGTCATTGACTACTGTGCCTTGTGTACCTTACCTATTCCACTCATCCACCACTCTATTTCTTAGCTAGTACCAAGTAGTTTTGATAATTGCAGCTTTATAATGCGATTTATGATCTGGTATAATTAGGCCACCATCCCTAGTATTTCTTTTCATTAATTCCCATGATATTGTAGACCTTTTGTTCTTCCAGATGAATTTTGTTATTATTTTTTCAGGTTCTTTCAAATAATTTTTGGTAGTTTGATTAGTATGGCATTGAATAAGCAAATTAATTTAGGTAGAATTATCATTTTTGTTATGTTAACTCTGCCAATCCATAAGTAACTGTTTTTCCAATTATTTAGGTCTGACTTTATTTGTGAGAAAAGTGTTTTGTAATTGTGTTCGTATAGCTCCTGGGTTTATTTTGGCAGGTAGAGTCCCAAATATTTTATGATGTCTACAATAATTTTAAATGGAATTTCTCTTTCTATCTTTTGCTGCTAGGCTTTGTTAGTAAAATACAGAAATGCCAATGATTTATGTGGGTTTATTTTACGTCCTACAACTTTGCTAAAGTTGTCCATTATTTCAAGTAGTTTTTTACTTGACTCTCTAGAATTCCCTAAGTATAGCATCATATCATTTGCAAAAAGGGATAGCTTTGTTTCTTCTTAGCTTATTCTAATTCCTTCTATTTCTTTTTCTTCTCATTGCTAACACTAACATTTCGAATAACAGTAGTGACATCCTTGTTTCACCCCCAATCTTATTGGAAATGCTTCTAGTTTATCCCCATGTGTAATGCTTGCTGATGGTTTTAGGTAGATGCTACCGATCATTTTAAGAAAGACTCCATTTAATGCTAATACATTGTTGGTGGAGTTGTGAAATGATCCAACCATTTTGGAGAACAATTTGGAACTATGCCCAAAGGGCCACAAAAATGTGCATGCCCTTTGATCCAGCAATAGCACTTCTAGGGCTATATCCCAAAGAGATCAAACAAATGGGAAAAGGACCCACAGGTACAAAAATATTCATAGCAGCTCTTTTTGTGGTGGCAAAGAATTGAGAGGATGCCCATCAGTTGGGGAATGGCTGAGCAAGTTGTGGTATATGAATGTAATGGAATACTATTGTTCTATAAGAAATGATGAACAGGCTGACTTCAGAAAAACCTGGGAAGACTTATATGGTCTGATGCTGAGTGAAGTGAGTAGAACCAAGAGGACTTTGTATACAATAACAGCCACGTTATGCAATGACTAAGAATGTTAAACTGAACCCTTCTCAGAATTACGAGGATCTAAGACATCTCCAGAGGCCTCGGGATGGAAAATGCTGTCCACATCCAAAGAAAGAACTATGGAAGTCGAATCATTATCACTTATTTTTACCTTCTGTTGAGTTTTGTTTCATCTTTCTGATGGTTCCTCCTATTGGTTTTAATTTTTACTTACAACTTCACTAATGTGAAAATATGTTTAATGGGCATGTAAATGTAAAGCCTATGTCAGATTGTGCACCGTCTTGGGGAGGGTGGGGGGGAGAAAAAGGGAGAAAAAAATTTCAACTCAAAAGCACATGGAAAAAAAAATTAAAAAAAAAAAGAAAGACTCCATTTATTCCTATGCTCTCTAGTGTTTTTAATAGGAATGGGTATTGTATTTTGCCTAAAGCATTTTCTGCATCTATTGAGATAATCATATGGTTTCTGTTACTTTTGTTGTTGGTATGATCAATTATGCTGATAGTTTTCCTAATATTGAACCAGCACTACATTCCTGGTATAAATCCTACTTGGTCATAGTGTATTATTCTTATGACAAAAAGTTGCTGCAATTGTTTTGCTGATATTTTATTTAAAATTTTTTCAACTATGTTCATTAGGGAAATTGGTCTATGATTTTCTTTCTCTGTTTTAACTCTTCCCAGTTTAAGTATCAGTGCCATATTTGTAACATAAGAATTTAGTAAGACTCGTCCACCTATTTTGGAAGAGTTCTTGACTAAACAATTGATAGAGAACATAAAACAAGACAAAATAGAAAATTTTGATTATATATAACTTTTTTGCATAAACCAATCAATGTACTTAAAACTAGAAGGGAAATAGTTAACTAGCAAAAATCTTTGCAGCAAGTTTTACTGATAAAGGTCTCATTTCTAAGATATGCAATTTAAATATATAAAACTAAGCAAGTATGCTTTAAAAATATAAAACTAAGAACCATTCCCCAATAGATAATGAGCCAAAGTATATGAACAGGTAGTTTTCAAAGGAACAAATATAAGCTGTCAACAACAACATAAAAATTACTAATATTTAACAAAATGCAAATTAAAGCAACTTTGAGTTTCTACTTCATACCCATCAGTCTGGTCAAGATGAGAAAAGAAGAAAATAACAAATGTTGAAAAAACAGGCACACTAATGCATCATTGGTAGATCTTTGAATTGGTCCAGCCATTCTGGAAGTAATTAATAACTGTGTTCTAAAAGTCAGTGAATTGTGCATACTCATAGACCTAGTATACCACTACAAGGTTTATACCCCTCCCCCAAATATCAAAAAGAGGAAGAGGACCTATATCTGCCAAAATATTTATAGCAGCTCTTATTGTGACAGCCCCAAATTGGAAACTAAGGGAATAGTCTCCAAGTGGGGACTGTGGACAAATGAATATAATAGAATAGTATTAAACCATAGAAAGTTATAAAATGAACAGATTGAGATAAAACTGGGAAGACCTGTATGAACTGATAAAGAATGAAGTAAGGAAAGCTAAAAGATCAATTTATAAAAAAAAAAACATTGTAGAGAAAAACAACTTTGAAAAAATCTGATCAACATAATAATAAACTAAGTCCAAATGGCTGCAGATGAAACCTGACCCTCACCTTCACAGTAGAGGTGATAAACTTAAAATGCAGAAAGAGTTGCATATTTTCGAGCATGGATTTTATCTTTTTTCTTTTTGATCATGGGGGAGAGAGGGGAACAGAGGGAGGAACAGATTGTAAATGTATACAAAAATTAATTTTATTTACAGAAAAATAACTTTCTATGGGGGGTTGCATTTGAGAATCACAGTCTGACTTTATTTACATAGAGACATAACACCTTTCAGGTCTGTTTTGTCCTGGGTAAACATCAGGAAAAAAAATTTTTTAAATAAGCAGAAATTTACAAAGGAGAGAGTACAAACTGCTAATAACTACATGAAAAGATGCTCAAATACCCTCATGATAAATAAATGAAAAATCAGAACAACCTTATCATATCCCATTAGCATGACAAAAATATTTTTTACAAAATTAAAATTCTATATTAGTGGAACTGTCAAGAAATAGGTACTATTTTTAGAGCTACAGAATTGTGTAAATATTTTGGAGAGTGATAATGACAATGTACAGTAAGAATTGCAAATCTGATTATGCCCTTCAACCTAGGCATTCTATTATGAAGACTTTATCACAAAACATCATAAAAGGGAATTATCTGTCCAAAATATTCATGGCTGATATATTTATATTAGACAAAATAGAATTACCTTATATTTTGTATAATAGAAAAGAGATAAGTAAAATATTCCATTAAATGATAATCACGTATCGTATAAGAAAATATAGATAGATCTATCTAAGGTGATACAGAGAGAAATAAATTATAAGAGAATTGTATGTACACTAGTTTCAAACTATGTTTTTAAAAAGAATAGAAAGAAATAGTCCAAAGATGACAAATCTTCAAAGCATCTTGTAAAATGATAAGACAAAAGCATTTTTCTTTTTTGCTCTATATTAACTAGTCTGATTCTGCTTCATTTAAGGATAATAATAAGGTAAGGCTTTGCCCTTTTTTCCTCCTATGTTTATTTAATTCATTTTGTTAATAGCAATTGTTCATAATTTTTAAAAAATGAGTTATTTAAATTAAAAATAAAATTATAAAATTGTAGTGTAATTATGCATTATAAAATATGTTAAACAATAGATATAATGTATAATTTTTATAAGTATCTATAATAACTATACTAAATTGTATAATTATATGTTTTCTATAATTATAAAATTATATTAAAAAACTGGTGATGAATTCTGGTTTTGTTTTTCTTTAACTAGTAAATTTGGTTTAAATTGTAGCATATAGCGTATATATTAGTTTTTTATTGAGGTCCCTTGTTGACAGTTATACCTTTAAATATTAAGAAAACCTAGTCAATTTTAAGATGAGAATGTGATGATAATATTGTAATGAAATTACTTTTCATTGCTTCCACTTCTGGATGGTTACTGTCATTGACCCTGGACAGAAAATCTTCTCTTGAATAAGCTTCTAGTCATACTACTTAGAGCAGTTTTAAATGATGTGAATATATAAAAAAAAAAAATCTCCATTCAGTGAATTTAATTTTTTCCAGTATTTGATGTTCCAAACATTGACATGTTTGAAAAAAATTATAACAATGTTTTCCTTTCCAGGAAAGCATAGATCTGGGTGAAATCATGTTTTCCCTTTGTTATTTGCCTACGGCTGGGCGTATGACATTAACAGTCATCAAGTGCAGAAATCTCAAGGCAATGGATATCACAGGTTCATCAGGTGTGTACACATCCAATCATTAGATCAAGATTCCTACTTCAAGATGAAACATATCACTAGTCTATATATCTAGCTATTATTCTACTAAATACATCTTCTTTTTCTGAAGCAGAATAAAAGCAGTGAAAGAAACTGAAAAGTAAATTATGAATTTTAAATTTTGTTTAAAAAGGAAGCCATCTATATAAGGTCTACTTCAGTTGTGTGGCTCTGTCTTTCCAGAGGTACTGTTTTTGTTTTGTCTTTGGAACTGTGTTCATATTTTTTCATCATCATACTTGCTATTTAATGCATTTTTAGGAAGAACTATTTTAAACCAAAAGAGCTATTTAATTGCTTGAAGATGAATCTTCTTACTTCTTGATTCACATTGCTATCTATATATGTGAGAACCTCTTGACAGCATATTTAGGATGAATTTATTTCTTATATCTAAGTTATAGGAACATGACCATATTACCAAATCCACTGTTTTCATTTGTAATTTTGTTGCATTTCCAAACCAGCAAAATAGACAAATAGTAGCAACTGATTACTCAGTAGAAACTGATGGTTATGACTCTGACTGGTGGAGATTTGAACATCATATGCCCTTTATATTTGTATTTTAATCACTATAGCTGTGGTATTTGTTTTCCTATGTCCTATTAATTTAACTGATATAATCATGACATAGTGTATAGTGTGGGAGGCTGAGGGAAGGTGGCATCAAAGTTCCAGTTCTGCTTTCTGACACATTATGTGACCATGGACAAGTTACTTAACCTCTCAGTGCCAGGGGTAATGAAGTCTCTAAGACCTACAGAGAATTTACTGATCTGCATCATACCAGAAGTTCTCTACATTGAGAAAGTCAGAAACACACACACACACACACACACACACACACACACACACACACACACACACTAACCAGTTGGGTAGAACCTGTCATTACATCAATGCAAGGTACTCTCCTAGTGAGGAAACTCCTTCTTCCAATGAAAATCAGCACTGGCTGTATAATTTATCCTGCCAGAGAGTTGCCTAGGGCTCTGAGAGTTTGAGTGACTTCACAAGGATGATGCCAGTGTATGTCAGACAGGACTTGAACCCAGGTCTATCTGACTTCTAGGTTGGCTTTTTCTTCATTACAACAAGATGCCTCTCTATATAAACTCACACAATATGTACATATGTATGTAGATATATGCATGCATATATACACATGTGCATATAAAGTTGGAGAATGTGCTAAGCATAGAAATTTATTTGAAATAATAAATGACAATATGAAAATAGAAGTTTTTACTTTGGAGATTCAATTTAAATATTTATGAGATAGAAAAAGATATTATAATTTTAATAATTTCCCCCAGATTATCCGTATATAAAGCCATAACTCTCATGCATCCCACAGTTTCTTTAGAGAAGAAATAATGGTAGCCAGAGTTGAAACACTAAAGGAAATATTGAACATTACTTCTGAGGATCTGTGAATTATTTATTCTTTTCCTTATGCTATGTAACCAAAGATTTTGAGACAAATAATATAACAGTTATAATTAAAATTTAATTAATTTTCATTTTTAAAATTTATTTATAATTTATGAAATTTATAAATTTTAATTTAATTTAAAACTTATTTATATTTATGTAATTCTTTTCATAAGAGGTATTCTAGTTTTGAAGACATTGACTCATTAATTCTCCTAATATGCTCATGAATCAATTTAGCAGTTAGTCTCAAGTGGAGAAACTTAGACAGAGAAGAATTATGGTACTCTTCCAGACACAAACAACTTGAGAGAAAGCCTCATGTAACAACACTTAGCCCCTGCTGGCTCAGAGGGCTAGAGTGTTCACCCTTTCTCTATAAAGAGTCCCCAAGCTGTGGACTTGTCCATATGGACTGGGTTCAGTTCTAGGGGAGCTGACTCATAAAAAAAGGTATCTTGAACCTTTTCTGGTGACATCTTTGTTCTGGTACTTTCTGAAGGGTCCAGGGCAGAATGACTTGGTACTTTGGGTAGTCCAGTCCACTGCTGGACACCATTCTTCCCCAAAGAGTACTCTTAACTCTGGATCCATACTTGCAGACCAAGCTCATTCTTAAAAACAGTCTGACCTCTTTGTTTAGAGGCTCTTTTTTTCATTTTCTGGCTAATTATGTTCCACCCAAGAACCCTAGGAAGAACTTCTGTTTGGTTTATATCTAGGATTTCCCCAAAAGGGAATTGAAAGTTATTCGATATTAACTATTGATCAGGTATAGAACAACTATGTATTTCTTCCACACAAAAGAAATGTGTAAAACACAAAAGGCACCTATTGACAAAGATCTAAATGTGAAACAGTAACTTAAAACTACTATTATACTCTTCTTGGAAGTGGATATCTAAAACAATAAAACATGAAACACTTTATGAGACTTGTCTCCCTTACATTGTAGGTAGCATTTAATAATTAGCATGGTCTATGGGATGTTCAGGGAAGACTAGCACCTCTGGTGTGACCAAGCCTTTTCAGGGCTGCTTATCCATCCACCTTCTTTGGTGTTCACCAGTCACCTAATTCTTATCTGTGGCCCCAAGAAACTATAGTATGTGCAGTGGCCTTACCCCAGTAAAACTGTCTTGGCAGACAAGCTACTCCAGATTGAGGGTAACCGACAGACCTCAAACCCATCAATGAGTTTGGGGAGTGCCTACCCAAACATGTGAAGACTTCTTCCAGCGGTCATGAAGGCAGCCAAAACAGGCACTATGGAACATTTAGAGTTTGGTCATAGAATGAAGATATTAGGGTCATCTACTGCATCCTGGATCATCACATGTCATCTTGACTTTTGTTTTGGCACTAGACTTTGATGACTCTAGAAGAAAGTAAGGCTGACAACTGTACAACTCTGCCTCACTTAAATCCAATTCATGTGCAAGTCAAGACCCTCATGATACCATTGGTTCTCTTAAAAAATGAAGGAGAAGGGGCAGCTAGGTGGCACAGTGGATAGAGCACCGGCCCTGATGTCAGGAGGACCTGAGTTCAAATCCGGCCTCAGACCCAAAACTTGACACTTACTAGCTGTGTGACTTTGGGCAAGTCACTTAACCCCAATTGCCTAAAAGCCAAAAAAAAAAAATGAAGGAGGAACAACAAATAATTAGAACTAATATAGTGCTTTAAGATTTGCAAAGCACTTTCCATTTATCATCTCATTTGATCCATGTTTTCTGGCAATGCAGGCCGGGAGGTGTGCTCCCCTTCTCACTGGTGGTCATTTTCTTTCCAAAGAAGCATTATAGTAACTGCAAGGAGCAAGCCCCATAGTTCAGCTTGGCACTGATTAAGGGATACTAGAGTTCATGAGTTCCGCTCCCAAAAAATTCAAGCAGAAGAGGATCAGTGTTAGGCTTACCTAGACTTTAAAGGCACCATAATTACAAGAGTTGGGGAGAGAAAGAGAAAGAGAATATCCTCTCTCCCCTATGTTAAGTCCCACACTGGGACTTTCTGGGAGTGAGAGGTTAAGCATTAGAGGGCAGAGTCAATCATTTTAGTGTCTACTGGGTATGCACCTCCTAGTGCCTCTGTGGCCAAACTTGTTTGATGAAGCCCCTTCCCCTCCTGCTATCATGGAGCCAAAGTATTGTTGTTTCATACTTGGAAGTCAATTTTTTTATTATTGACCTATTAATCATGGCACACTAGAAAAGGACAGGGTAAATATATGACTAGAAGTTGCCTAACTTCAAAGATAGCACATGCGGTCCTGGAAGAGGCTTGATCCCAGCCATACTTCAAGAGTAATACTTTATTCAGAGCCAATCAAAGTTGTTCCCCTGATTATACCCAGAGTTGAATTGGGGGTCAGTGCGTCAAGGTCTAAATCTTAGTTTTAACTCAAGCTGTTTGAATATGGGCAAATTGCTTTACCTCTCAGCCTCGTTTTCTTTATCTATAAATGGAGATAAGAATATACACTATTTTCTTGTTTATTGAAATAAAACATTTCATTAAAACTTAGAACACTGTATAAAAATGTAAATAATCAAGTTGGGAAAGGCAAGTCTCTCAGCTTCTTGCTTCTTTACTCTCATTTTTAGACCACTTTATTTTCTTTTAAGTATTTAGCAACAGGAAAAAGCCATTTAATCTGATTTGTTCTTTTTTCTTTTTCTGTCATTTACAAGTGTGTACTTAATTCTTAATTTTTCTCTCTCTGTAATAATAGCTAATATAGTGCTTTAAAGTTTACAAAGTGCTTTTCTCACAACCCTGTGACTTATGTAATATAAGTTGTTCCAATTTATAAATGAGAAAACCAAGAATCAATGAGAGTGATTCCCTACAAATCACATAGCTAGTAAGTGATGAAACAAAAAGTTTACTGTTTTTTCCACAATACATTGACATAGTTAAAGAAAAATGACAAACTTTATTTTTCACAATTTTAAACATCTCTTTCCAAATTGGCATTAATTCTTCTTTAGTACTTCAGTATATTCATGATTCTGATCCTGTGTGCACTGTCCTCCAGTGAAGCCTACAATATCTCTGTGCCTTGGTAGACATTCTTCGTTTTAACTATTGTGATGATGATGATGATGAATATATCACCTTGTAGGTCTTCTGGTTATGAACCTTTCCTTTAATTTGTTGCTTCATTATTTCATTTGTTCTTCATTTTCAAAGAGGACCAATTGTTTAATTCTCACTACAATAATGTAACCTCAACTGCAGATACATTTTGTACCAATCTCTCTGGAGGACCAACTGCTGTATATAGGGAAAGGGGGAGAGATGGAGATAAAAGGGGAAATTGCACCTGCATTTATAGATGTGCTTCATCACTGAATTCTGGCTTGTTATGATTTTCCAAAGCTTTCATATTATTGGTGTGGCCGTAGAGAACCAGAGTTACCTTGCTGCCATGATGTGGCACGTGTACCTGGATGAGCTCCACATATAAGGAATATGCTATTCATATAAAATGGGTGGTCTAGACATATAAACATACAACTAATGATGATGTATAGATAGCTATAATCTGAGATCTAGATTGCCTCTGAGGGGCAGAAGAGAGCCAATATGATAGCTGGGCATGCAAACCCCAGAGCACCTCAAGACTAAATTCCCTGTGTTTTCTAGTCCCAGAAAGGATAGCATATGAGAATATCTGTTCCCCTAAATGTTACTGATTTAGGGGTACATAGTTTCACTATGAAGCTGCTTTCCTAGTTACTATCCCTTAGAGGGAGAGAGTTCCCCAAAACTTATACCCATCATGTTGCCTCCTTCCTGGTTACACCAACACTGGTCATAAAAAAGAACATGACAAATGGTGAACAACAAATAAATCCATTCATCCAAACATATAGCAAACAGAAATTGGAGAAAATATATAGATTATAATATGCCAGAAAATACAGAGAGTGGATAGATGGGAACAAGATGAAATATTTCATCAAAGAGAGAGTCCTTGGTCTTACCCAAAGGGAAATTCCCCAAAGTTTCTAGAGAGACAAGCTGGAAATCAGGGACATGTCAAGGAGCTGGTTTTTTCTCCATGTCTGCATTTTCCAAAGTCTCTTATCTCAGTCTTTCTCCCCTCTCTCCTTTCCTACTGTTCTCCCCCTTTTGTCTCCATCTCTCCCCCTTTCCCTATATACAGGAGTTGGTCCTACAGAGAGATTGGTACCAAATGTATCTGCAGTTGAGCTTTCATTATTGTAGTGAGAATTAAATAATTGGTTCTCTTTGAAAACAAAAGACAAATGGAACAACAAATTAAAGAATACTAATCTCACATAATTATTGATATTTTTTAACATCCTATTGGATCAAAATCTGTTCCTGCAGAAATCAAAATTTTCTAAAGAGGAAAAAAATAAAGCAGCTATAAGGTACATTTCTTGGGTGAAAACAAATATTCTTCCTTTTTATCAAAAGTAGCCAGATCAAATTAACTCTAGGATCATTTGATCCTGATAAATTATTTATGTTAAATATATCATAAAATAAATTATCCCAACCTGCTATGATTTCTACAATTAAAACTTTAATATCAGTCCCGCCACACAATATTTTTCCTGGTCTGACTTATACATTCTTCACTGAGGAGGACTCAGTATAAATTCCCTCTAACAATTCAGCTAGTAACTGGGCTGTAACTTATACTATTAAGATGTTGCCTGAAGCATTGAAACTTAAATGTATGTTACCTATTTTTGTTGTTGTTGTTGTTATTCAGTCATTACCCATGGTATGCGACTATTATGTGTTAGAGACCAGATTCAAGTTCAGGTCTTCCTGATTCATAGTGACCCTTTATTTGCTCTACCATGTCTCTCATAAGCAAAAAGAATAGAAATTCTAAGTATTCCATGAAGAACATTCTTCTCTTATAGTAAATATTAGATTATGTTTGTAGCTTTGAGCTACAATTTGATTAGGATTCTATATTCTCACAGCTTTACAAAAATGTTTTATTTTTTACTTTCAGATCCATATGTGAAAGTGTCATTGATGTGTGAGGGTCGTAGATTGAAAAAAAGAAAAACAACTATCAAAAAAAATACTTTAAATCCAATTTATAATGAAGCGATCATTTTCGATATTCCTCCTGAGAATGTGGACCAGGTCAGCCTCTTAATTGCTGTCATGGATTATGATAGGTAGGTATCTCTTCCTGTGTAAACAGTCTTTTCAAAACAGCATTATTAGATTTTAGGCTACAGGTATCTGGATTTTTAAGTTCATTTTCGATTATCATAATGCTTTCAATTGTCAGCAGATTAAGTAAAATATTAGACACATATCCATACATTTAAAACTTAAAGAAAAAACTAATGGAAGTAATTCTAAGCAGTGTAGGCTAGTGGGAAAAGCTCTAGGCTAGAAGCTAGTTAATATACGTTGGGGCAAGTTACTTACACTGGAATTAATTTTTTTCCTACTGTAAAATGATCTATTCGCAATAAGTCCTCTATGATGATAAGAAACAAAAAGTAGTGGAGATAAGGATAGATTTAATTCATTCTACAAACTTCCAAACTGATCTTAATGCCATTTTTCATATCATATGTGTTCAAAAATCTACCCCATTACTTACCAATTAAGCACATACTTCTTGATCAAGCATTCGAGGTCCTTTATAATCTAACATAACTTATCTTTCACTATTCTCCTACACAAACCCTCCTCCAATCCAGAAAAATTGGCCTACTTACTGTTCCCAGAAAGGGCTGGTATCTCTGAACCTTTGTTCATGGTGTTTCCCCGTTTAGGATGCCTTCCTTTTCTCCTGATCCTCCCACATATACATACATATGTTTACTGTGATGTTTTATTGTATTAAATAAAATTGCATAAGATGAGTATGACCCTGTATGACTTTATCTGACTGATCGATTATATTCTATATAAAGCTAGATTCTACACAGTGTACACATACATACACCTATATTTACAGCTATCCCTTTCCCTATTTTGACTTTGCCTACCATATCATGGTTTCAATATATTGCAGGTCAGCATAAAAATTAAATGGGAATTTTGAGGGAGTTTTGTAGAAGTCACAGACAACATGTAAAGGCTAGCAGATGACACAGAGCCTATGACCAAATGCTTAACCCAAATTTTGGAATACGCTATTGTGAACACCCCATAAAAGAAAAACAAAAATTTCAGAATTCTTCTCTGGTACAAAGGGAGGGCCAACATTTTTTATGTGGATTTTTCAGATTGCAGGAGCACCATACCCCTAACCGCACCCCCCCCCAATGTGGAAGGGATAACTACACACACACACACACACACACACACACACACACACACACACACAAAAGTGAATAAGTTTGTTAAACTTGGTATGAGTAGTCATTTCTACAAAGAAGTTTGCCATTCAACTCTTAGTCAGGAAATATAATTTGCATTATGACACTATTTCTATGAAAAGAAATCAGATTATATTTATATCATTAGACTCCTTGGTACCTTTTCCAGGTAAGTAATTTTGAGGATTCCTATATTATATGCTGGTATTTCTCACACTTTTTTGAAAGTATACGTAATTCAGGTACAAGTAAAAAGATTCATGTATAGTATATTACACATAAATGATTCTCTGGCATTACAAAACTGATACTATATATTACATTTTGGAATCTCTTAAGTTTGCAGATTCAGTGTTAATTAAATTTTAATATACCAATTCCATTACAATAAACTAGATTTACTAAAGCAAAATTTTAGTTTCATTAATTGATTTGCATATTTTCTGATGTATGGAAACTTATTTTTCCTTGAAAATAAAATTAAAAGCATAATCTTAATTATTCATAGGGTAGGACGCAATGAGGTAATAGGAGTATGTAGGACAGGACTGGATGCTGAAGGTCTTGGACGAGATCATTGGAATGAAATGCTAACCTATCACAGAAAACCGATAACTCATTGGCATCCATTGCTAGAAGTAAGTCTCCTTTCAAGGTTCTAATCTATGTTTTATTTGTTAGCACTTTTTGTTGAATTATTATTACAAGAATTATGTCATGAGTTTAAATACAATTTATGTTTATACATATTCCATTTTTTGTTTTAGAAACTGTTAATTTTTTTTAAAAATTACCTACATTTTCTGGTATATTTCTCTACTTTATACCTAAAGAGCCATTCTTTATAACAAATCATTAAAAAAGAAAAAAAAAGTTCAGCAAAACTGAGCAATTTGTTTACTAAGTCTGACATCGTATTTGGTATTCCAAGTCCATAGTCTCTGCAAATTAGGGCAATACATTCTCACTTTCCTTCTTTGAGACCAACCTTGGTCATTACAATTTTGCATCATTCAGTTTCTCTTGTTTTATTATTGTTTTCACTTACAATATAATAGACACTATGTGTATTGTTTTCTTGGCACTGCATTCACATTGCATCAGTTCATATAATTCTTCCATACTTCTCTGTACTCATTATATTCACTGTTGTTTTGTTTTGGTGTTTTGATGCTATATCTCCCTATGTTGCCTGGCTGAAAGTGCAGTGACCACTTATAGACTTGATGTATTTGTTGATTGGCCCAGAAGCTGCTCCATTTGTGACCTGGGCTTGTTTATCCTTCCTTAGGCAGCTTGATGCCCTACCCCATCCTGAAATACCAGTAGCTCACCATATCGGTGCAAGACAGGACAGATAACCAATTGGTTTTAGTTCTATTACCCCTCAGAACTCCTGAGCTTAAGTGATCCACCAAACTCCTTCTCTTCTGTAGCATTACCATTCATTTCACAGTGAAAAAAAATGAGGTAAACAAGTTTAAGTGACTTGCTCAGGGTCACACAGCTAGTAAATATCCAAGGCCGGATTTGAACTCAGGTCATCCTGACTCTAGGGCCAGCATTCTATCCATCGTGCCACCTAGCTTCCCCATTGTCTCTTACATCCATTACATTTCATGTACAAAAAAATGGCTTAGTCATTCTCTAATAGAGGGGCATCTACTTTGTTGCCAGTTATTTGATACTACAAAAAACACTGAAGTAAACATTTTTATGTGTAGGGAAGTTTATTTTCCATAGTAGACTTTCTTAGTGTATATGCCTAGCAATAGGTTCTCTGAAACAAAAGGTATGAATATTTTAGTTATTTTCTTGATATAATTCTAAATTGCTTTGCAGAATGGTTGGACCAATTCACAGCTCCACCAGAAATGTGTTAGTGTGCCTGTCTTTCCACAATCCCTGCAACATTGACTATCCTGGGAATTTTTGAATCACTCATGGTAGGGAGTCCAACTCAAGAATAACCCCATAGGTAGAGAAGATATACTTATTTTGTGGGAAATGTGTATCTTATAATGGGTCTAATTTTGGGGGGACATGGTACTTAAAGTGACCACTATCTCTGAGAGAGTGTTATACCTCCATGGAAAGCATTCTGCTCCAGATTAAGAGGAATCAGGGTTATTAGGGCAACCAACATCCAGAAACCTTTCAGGGAGAGCATGGACTCAGAGAAAATATTTCATGGCAAATTTTTTTTAAGTTATCACGGGGGTGGGGGGAGTGTCATGGAATGGTAATAATCTGAATGATCAGGAAAAGAAGATAGTTTCTACCATGGGACAATAATGCTATCCTGTCTATCTCTTTCAGGACATAGAGATACTTTTAGTAGTTGACCACAAAATCCCAAAATAGGAGGGGAGCAAGATTTACAACAAGGCAAAAATATGTAAAGGTTGAGAAAAGGAAACTCAAAATAGACACCTTAGAAGCTTTAATTCCAAGGAGTAGAATCAAGACTGGAGAGAGACTAACTATTTCACTTCAGTTTCCCCAAAACCTTTTTCACAACATAAAAAATGTGTCAAAATGAATTCTGAACAGGAAAGCCAAGAAAAAGTCACAGCTCAAGGTAATTTAGAAAAGTAGCTCTGTGAACCCTGGTGTGAGGACTGGCTAGGAGCTTAATAAAGCAGCAGAAGTGGCACTGGGCTGTGGTGGCAGTGGTAGCAGTGGCAAGGAGCAGCCCATCACCAAGGGATTAAATGTCAATAGAAGTGAATACCAGGGAACCCTTGTAGTAGCACTAGGAGCAGGGAATGAAACCATCTAGCAACTCTATTACCTATTACTCAGTTTTGGATCATAATTCCTATCTGTGTAAGGACCAAAGTACAGACCATAAAGGCAGTGAACACATCCCTCCCCAGATCACACTACTTTAGAAGCACCATATAATTACAGATCCCCAAACTGACCTATGAAAGTAGCAGAAGGACATAAAGGACCAGTCCCCCCACCTCCTGAGGTAAGCAGTGCCCCAACAATACATAAAGTCCAAAGTCAAAAATAGGCTGAAAAAATGAGCAAATAACAACAACAAAGATCATTAAAAAGCTGTTATGGTGACAAAGAAGCTCAGTACACAAACTCAGGAGAAGACCTTGACTTGAAAACATCTACAAGCAAAGTGTCAAAGAAAAGTACAGATTGGGCAAAAGCCCATCAATAATTGATAACTTGGTAAAAGAGACACAAAAGAAGTTGAAGATAATCACTTCTTAAAAATAGAATTGGCCAAATAGTAAAAGAAGTACATAACTGAAGAAAATAGTTCCTTAAAATTAGAATTAGTTGAATGGAAGCCAATGATTTCATGAGACATCAGTAAATAATAAAACAAAATAAAAAGTCTGAAAAAAATAGAAGAAAATAGTAAATGTTTCATAGGAAAAACAATTGAGGTGGAAAATAGATCAAGGAGAGAAAATTTAAAAATTATTGGTCTATCTGAAAGTCATGACTACAAAAAGAGCCTAGAATGTCAAGAAGTAATAAAGGAAAGTTCCTCAGATATCTTAGAACCAGAGGGCAAAGGAGAAATTAAAAGTATCCACTAGGCACATCCCCCCCCAAAAAAAATCCCAAAATGAAAACTCCCATTAATATTATAGGCAAATTGCAGAGCTCTCAGGTCAAAGAGAAAAAACTGCAATAAACTGAAAAGAAAAAATTCAAATAGTATGGCACCATGTCAGACTCATACAAGATTTATCAGCTACACCTTAAAGGTCGGAATATGGCATTCCATATCATATAGAAGACAAAGGAGCTAGGATTACAACACCAGGAATAACTGAGTATAACCTTATAGGGTAAAAAAAATGGATTTTAATGAAATATAGCCTTTTCAAGCATTCTTGATGAAAAGACTGGATGTGAATATAAAATTTGACATTCAAACACAAGAATCAAGAGTAGTATGAAAAGGTAAACATGAGTAACATGAGGGACTAAACAAGTTAAACCATTTACATAAGGGAAAATTATAAATGTAACTACCAAGAATCCTTTCATCACTAGGGAAGTTAGAAAGAGTCTACTTAGACACAGGGAATGAGTGTGAGTCTGTTATGTTGGAATGACCTCAGAAGAAGAATGGAAGGGTGGGAAAGAGGAATGCACTGGGAGAAGAGGGGAGGGAAAGGAAGAATGGGAAAATTGTCTAACATAAAAGAGATGTGCAAGTTTATACAATGGAAGAAAGAAAGGGGGAGAGAGAAATGCTTGTATTTTACTCTCATCTGAACTGGTTCAAGGAGGGAAGAATATACATATATCCAGTTCGATACAGAAATTTATCTTACCTGACAAGGAAATAGGAAGAAAAGGGGCTAAGACCAGGATGGGGAACCTATAACTTCAAGGCCACATGTGGCCTTCTAGGTCTTCAAGTGCGGCCCTTTGACTGAATCCGAACTTCACAGAAGGTAGATTAAAGTAAGCAGTGGTCAGATACAAAACAGACTCATGAGGAGGGGACAGAGTAACAAACAAAAGTATAAACAGAAGAAAATAGAAAGAGAGAAATACACAGCCATCATAACTGCAAATGTAAGTGGAATGAACTCATCCACAAAATGGAAGAGAATAGTAGAATGGATTAGAAACCAGAATACAACAATATGTTGCTTACAAGAGAAACACCTGTAAAATAGGGTTTTTTTAAGTTTTTATATTTTATTTTTTCGATTACATTTAAAAATAATTTTAACATTTATTTTTTAAAACCTTGAGTTGCAAATTCTTTCTCCCTCTCTCTTCTTTCTCCCCTCTCTGAGAAGGCAAGCAATTTGATATAGATTATATATGTGCAGTAATGAAAATATATTTCCATATTAGCTATGTTATGAAAGAAAACACAGACCAAAAAGAAATTTTAAAAAATTAAGTATGCTTCAATATGCATTCAGACCCCACCAATTTATCTTTGGAAGTGTACAGCATTTTTCATCATAAGACCTTCAGAATTGTCTTGTACTTTTGTATTGCTGAGAATAGCCAAGTTGTTATACAATATTGCTGTTGCACTGTACAGTGTTCTCCTGGTTCTGCTCACTTCACTTTGCGTTAGTTTATCTATTTCTTTCCAGGTTTTTCTAAAAGCATCCTGCTCATCTTTTCTCAGAGCACAATAGTACGCCATTACAATCTTATACCACAACTTCTTCAGTCATTCCACAATTGATCTATATCCCCTCAATTTCTAATTCTCCACAAAAAAAGCTGCTATAAATATTTTTGTACACATAGGTCCTTTTTCTTTCATCTCTTTAGGGTATAGATCTAGTAGTGATGTTGCTAGATCAGAAGGTATGCATAGTTTTATAGCCATTTGGGCATAGTTCCAGGTTGCTCTACAGAATGGCTGGACTAGTTCACAACTCCACTAACAGTACATTAATGTCCCAGTCTTTCCACATCCCTTCCAATGTTTTTCATTTCCCTTTTCTGTCATATTAGTATGATAGATGTGGGATGCACCTCAGTTGTTTGTGTCTAAGAAAAGCAGATTAAGTATCATTTTATGTATAAGGTCTTTCCTAATATCAGTTACTTTCTTCTGCTTTGAATGTATCTATAAAGTTGTATCTTATCATCCCTAAAAGCTCTTGTGGGTGGAGACTTT